TGACTCGCATGTTCTTTTGTATTGGCGCCACTGAGTTCCGTTACGGATACGTGAACGTTTATCAACGACTGTCAACACTAAATTTATTGAACCAACTTAGGTGAAAGATGACTGCAGTTGAAACGTAGGTCGTAGTTACTAGTCAGCGGTCACAAAAAATGACCAATTTGACCGCTGACAAGAAAATCAGAATCTTCAGAGGCTTCAATTTATCGAAACAGCGAGGTCGGCGTTCTTCTCTACGCATCGCTACCTTAGGAATTTTGCTAACAACAATGAAAGCCTTCTCCGCTCATCCACGGCTACGGTCTAGGCGTCTACTAACCCAAGTGACCCAATCCTTGTTCGAGATGTCACGCGGGCTAACATAGAACCCTGATCGTCAATCACAACCGACACCCTACTGCCAACGCAAATCCTGGAAATAGAAAAAAGGAGAGGTTGGCTAGTTTTTTTCAAGATGCAAGAAATTGTAGAGCACTGGACAGGGACAGGAAATGGTGAAAAATAAAAGCCCATGAGCCTACCTGTTGCCTTGCAATTGAATGTGGAGGCTGGTGTAGGGCTCACAACGCATCAGATAATGCATGACGCCAGCTCCGCTGGAGTAGTGAGTGCCGTAGTGGAACTTTAAAATCATTCCACTGGGATCCTCAAAGGAGTCGTACCTAGGGTTGACGCGAAAGCACGAAAAAGCAGTGATAAGAGAAGAGTAAGGGAATGAGGCGGCATTAAGAGAAAATGGATTGATTTATTTTTTTGCGGTTTTATTAGCGGTGGTCCGCAAAAAAAGCCTTTCGATGGGCTAAAGGTATGTCAACCAAATGCGCAGATTTGGGCTGGACTTTAATATAACGTAAATAGTTAATTTTCCGAGAAAGTAAAAGTCCCCTATACTGTGTACACTGGCTTCGACCTAGAACGAATTTGACTAGTACAGACATCGAATCGATGTATAGAGACAAATACATTTTACAATCTGTGGCACGTCTCCAGTAGAGAAAGAACCCTTAGCAAATTGCAGCAATCAATTAGATTTGAGAAAGTACCTACATCCCCCCGACTCTGCACTTGCCCTTGAAAGAAAAGTATTTTCAGGACAAGTGAATTGCTCCAAAGAAATAATCAACGTTGAGCTTATAAAAGAATTCGCAGTTTGTTCAGATCGCGAAGCTCAGAGACTG